GCATCAATTCTCAAAGTGTGGTCCATGGACCCCCAAGGGTGCCTATGATCCATTCAAGAGGCACATGAGATCAAGACTACTTTCATAACACTAAACTGTTATCTGTTTTTTTGTCTCTTTCTCTCATAAGTGTATAGTAGAGCTGTTCAGAGGCTAAATGGTATGTGTCACTGTACTGATGGTTAATGGAATATATCCTTGTGGAGCCTTTAAAAATTTTTCTCGGTTTATATTTCTAATATGGTAAATATTGGTTGATGTGACTGTTATAAACAACAGCTCTCTTGAGTCCTCAATAACTTAAGAATATAAAGGGGTCCTGAGACGAAAAAGTTTGAAAACTGCTGCCACTACCAAAGTTTACTAAAGTTAAGTGATTTTAATCTTCAAACGAAATCTCTAGTTTTTAACTTTCAAAAATTTGCACTATAACTATGCCAGATAAATATTGTTCTCTGTGCAGAAATCTCTCCAAGACCCAAGTGGGAAAAGAAAAGATGATCTCTTTTAAAAGATCAGTAGACTATAGGAGATATGAAATAACTCCTACCTTTGCACAGTCACTACTATTCTGAACTTACCATACAAGAAACAACAAATCCAGAGATATTTACATTGAAGGTGCTCCGTGTTAAAAGTTGAAGATAGAGGATAACTAAGTGATAAGCCAGCCGTTAGTGCGCTCACAATCCTGTCAGGAAAATATAATCAGCAAGATAGTGAGATACTACTATAAGAAAAGGAATGAATGAAGTGGAAAAGGTATGGAAGGGCCAATTCTGGGGAATAAGATGGATAAAAAGACAAGGAACACTTTTCTTAGTGAAGGCACTCCACTGAGGTGGCCTGTAGACTGGCCTCTAGCAATAACCAAGGTTTTGCTAATTGGAAAAGAAGCTAAAAAGCATCCTTTAGGTAGTGGGAAAAACAGCAGCCCTAGTAGGAAAGCACAGCAGCACATAATATGCTTTAGAATGTTTAAGTAATCTATTCAAAAAACAAAAACTACGAGTAATTAGAAGATTTTATAGAATTTGATAAAGTAATTAGATGTCTGTTTAATTTAATGATGAAAGATTGGGACTTACAGTTTGTATATCTTTTTCTTAATTTCCAATCTGTCACAGATAGCTTTTTAAAAACATAATAAAATTAATCTAAAAAATAAAACAAAAACAAACAAAAAGTGGTCCTTCACCACAGATATTTTGAGAAGCTGAGAGAATAAGCGGCAAGATGGCAGGAAGGAGGAGTGGCAACAGCAGGAGATAAAAGCGTCAAGCTAGAAGCTTGTATAAACTGTACTATCAACAATCTTCCTATAAGTAGATGCAAAAAAGAAAATAAGTGGAGTTTAATAATTATTTGTATATCTCTAATCCAGAATAGGGAAATTCTAGCTATCTAAATAAAATGCATAATAAACTCTATTGTTAGAATCGCACTAACTTCAGTTGTGCAAACCACAGGCTGCATGGTTGAAGGGCAAACGTAGCAGAGTATCAGGGAGAATATCAGGTTCGGCACAGTTAATTTAACTGAAAAAAACCATGGTCTGTGTAAGAAGAGAAAGTGAACTGACACTTTGATCAAAACATTTAAAAATTATTTTAATTATTTCATTTGAAACCTTTCATGGGAGAGGAAAACATCTGAGTTGACATGGAAGCTTGGTACAGTGAGAAATTTCCCCCCCAAAATGCTGTTAGTTATAGCAATTAAGATATGAAGTAAAAGACTTAAGGAAAATCAATTATCTGAAGACACCAAATTCACAAAAACGTTAATTATGTTAGTGTTTTCCATTGTAACAGTAAATTAGATTGATTAAAGAAGGCCTGTTACTCCTCTATGGTCATTACGTGATTGGGATTGCTGAATTATTTTGACCAGAGAAGTGACACAAGAAATTGGAGTTTTAGGAAGATCTAATGGCTATGAGAGACTGTAGCAAGGACATAAGAGATTTAGCAGCACAAGTGCTCCAGATTAGAAATGAACTCTGAACCAAGATGCTGGCCATGGGGAAGAGAATTAAAGAGTAATTGGAAGCCATGTTGGAAACTAACAATGAATTATTTGAGCTAAGCATCTGTCCAGGTTTTCCATGAATCCAGGGAAACATCACTTAGACAAATTATTTATGGCAATTAATTCCAACTAAAATGACCCACCAAGATTCTGGATAGATCTGGATTGACTGTTTCACTAGTACCATGTTTTCACTGAAAATCTTGTGTAGGAGTTTAAACACGTTTTCAAAGTGTTATTTCTTAAATTAAAAACATTGCTTTGAGGAGTATTTTATAAAGTTTGGGCAAGGCATTCCATGTAGACAATTAGCCCCACTTTACCAACCTGTTAACCCAATCTGTTAGAACCAGCTGAATCCCTGGCCATTTTTGTCTCTTTAGACAGATTCTTCTATATCTGACATAAAAGTTTTGGCGCTTAAGCCATCTGTTAAAATAGTCATCAACAATTTAATTGAACTAGAAAAAAATGTACAATAAGGAACTCTTCCCAGTAAGAAATTATGAGAAAGAATAAGAAAAACTCTACTTAGTTACAAAATGAGTATATTCAAGTATTTAAGCTAAACTGATTTACAGTCAATTACCTAGTTCCACCTAAGTTATTCGCTGTTTTTTGTATACTTATCAAAATTAAGTAATAAATGTTACACTGAGATAAACAGACCATAGAAAGTATATGGAGTCCTATAAAATATAATAAAGGGTGATTTTATTTTGTTAGTTAAATGAGGTGACTATTTCTTTCAAAATGAGGAACTAACAAGTGAATAAGAGAAATCTGGCCTAATACACTAAGAAGCTTTATAAACACTTCATGTGTTCTAAGGGTTGCAATATTCATTTCATCAAATTCTTGTCCTTTTTTTCCTAATCACCCCTTTTGGCCTCTCATTCAGATGGACATTACTACACAAAATACAAAATGTAACTATTTTTGGAATATAGCCATATGACAAACTATAATAAAACCTCATGAAATATATTACTTCAGTCTTTATATTCTACTGAATGCTAGTCTCCTGAGATAGATCTACACACACACACACACACACACCCCCCCCCCTGCATATACCTGGTTTCCCATCTTGGATCTTACTCAACCTTATTCAGCCCCCCTCTGTCTCTCTCTCTCTCCTCTTTTTGGCTAAAAGAAGTCTTACTGAAAGGATTATATTATGATTCATCTTCTCCAAACTTATATGACTATGGGATACTTGTCCAAAGGAAAGAAATGTTTAATAAAACATATTTTAGAAAACACACACTTAACATATTCACTTTTAAAGTCCTGAAATATTTTTAAATATATAAGTGATATATCACTAATAATTCATTTTTATATGCTTTCAAAGTTCTTCACTGTACATTCTAAATTATCTGTCTCCTTTTCTATGTGGGAGAAAGATCTAAATTTGATCATTTTTTCAAGGACAACTTATTGGCTATGTTTATTTACCAGCTAGCTATCTATGACATATTTATTCAACTGCCGTAAGTTGTCATTGGTTATTTGCTAAAACAAGGGTGTTGCCAAATTAAGAACAACAACAAACTAATTATATTTTGCGGGTAACAAGAATATGTATGGTTATAATTTTCATTTTAACAAAATTAAAAGTTGAGAATTGGAATTCAATATCAACTGTGGTTCATCAAATATAAAAGCAGATTTTGGACTATCAAACAGTCACAAACACATAATTATACCTGAATGAAAGAACACTTACTATTTACAAATAAAAGTCTGGTTGATTTAAAATTTCAATTTTGAGAAAATAATACATGAATATGTGAAGAATGACTAGCAACCAAAGAATTATAAATATTTTTATAGTCTTTATTTGATAAAGGTTTTAAAGATTTTCTTGCTGAAATTACAAGAAAGAATAAGCAGAGTGATTAAAATAAAAATTTCATCATTAGGTTTTCTGAATATAATCAAAATGGTGGAAAAAAAAAGGAGTGAGTACTATCGCCAACCATATTATGCCTACAGTAAAGAAGAAAGTTGACTCAAAATGGCCTTTCTGAACCTTCTGAAACATCATGGCCCATTAAAAAAATGAAGTTTAAGAAACTCTTATGACCAGAGTTTTCAGCTAGCTAATTGAAAGTAAACTCTTCACTACTAATGATAAGCACAATAATCAATCACTGTGTCTTTTCCCAGTTTATCTGGAGTGCCTCCATCCAGGCATAAGCAGCATAAGGTCCAAAAGCTTAAGACATGACAAATTCATTATAGGTTGTACCTATACTAGAAAATAGGAGTGTTAATCAAAGTAGAATTAGTCAGTCATCTGTTTCTGCTGTATCGCTCACCTAGTTGTCTTAATCGGATTATTTTATCATTTCTCAGAAATGTTAGTATGTTTGCCTTATAAGAGGTAACTATTTTATTTAATTCAAAAAGTAATCATTGACTTAGACTATAATAAGCCCACAATAACCAAATATGCTTCTATTTCTCCTCAACATAATAATTAACTTTTTATCTGAAATCAGATTGTTATTTCAGGTTTTGAATTAACAATCTGTTTTCTTTGGTTTTTAGTAAAAAACAAATTATCATCAATACAAATACTATTTATTTCAAGATTCCCAACCTCCCTCTTCAGAAGTAATCTACATTTTGAATTCTCAAGAACATTTTTTGCATCTTTTCATGGCATTTAACCTCTACTGTTTGATTAAATGTTTATTAATATTTATTTTATTTTATATTATATTTATTAGTTTTATATTTATTTATATTTATCCTTTCCCGGTAAGTTCCTTAAATATACGATTGTATCTTACTCACTTTTTAAAAAAACCACATTACCTAATGAAATAATTTGCACAGATAAAACACAAAATACGTATCTGGTGATTACAAGCTAACTTATAAACAATAAAGGACTATCTGAACTATATTAAAGTCACAACGATTAAGCCTTAAAAACTCAGAAAAAATATTCTCACCATCTGTTTCTAAGGTTTGAGTCTCTGCTTTCTGAGAAAGGAAACTGAGAAGGCTGTTGAAAAATAGCTCTGATGTTATCTGGAGTCTTCAGATTCCCTGCTCCTTCTTCAGTCTAGGGTGCATCTTAAGAAGAGAAAAAAGATAGTTTGGCATCTATTCCAAATCAGATTCTGGAATGTGTTTTGTAAAGTTCTGTAAAGTTTTCCCAATATCTTTTCCTTGTTCAAGCTCAATGTAGAAGTAGTCACTTCCCAAAGAGAAATACGTATTGTTTATGAAATACAAACTGTTCATTAAAGGGAAGCAATGGGTCTTTGCTTTCTATACATTAACTTGATAAAAGTAGATGCTTCAAAAAGCAAACTGTAAAAAATGTTTATAGTTGCTATGATATGCTTATTAACCTTTGTTAATTTCAAATTTCCATCAAATTAATTCAATTACATATAAAAATTCTAAATCTTCCCAAAGGTATAGTCTCCCCCCGTCAAAAAAAAGGAAGAAAAAAATAGCTACGCCTTTTGTTTCAAAATACTACCTATGCAACCTTCCAGCACAAAATTTATAATAAATATCAAATGCCTTATGTCCGTAGAAAGACTTATACACCAATGTCCAAAGCAGCTTTATTTTTTAATAGCCAAAAATTAGGAACAACTCAAATGCATGTCAGTAGGTGAATAAATTATGGTATGTCCATATGATGAAATATTTACTCTTCAGCAACAAAAAAGGATATATTATTGACATAAACAACATGAATAAGTTTCAAAATTAATTATGCTGAGTGCAAGAAGCCAGAAAAAAGGAACACAGTGTGTGATTCCATTTGCATAAAATTGTAGAAAATGCAAATTAATCTACAGAGAGAGAAAACAGATCAGTGGCTGCCTGGGTATTAAGGAAAGGAGGGATTACAAAAGGCCATTATCTTAATTGTGGTGATGGTTTCATGGGTGTAAATGTATGTCAAAATTCACCAAATTGCAATCTTACATATATGCAACTTATTATATGTTAATTACACCTCAATAAAGCTGCAAAAAAAAAAATTCTTACAATTTATGTGTCTATTTATGTAGCAATTCCAAGTCTAGCAATTATCCTATTGGGGGAAAAAATGGCAATATGCACAAATATTTATATTAGACATAAAAATGTTATAAGCATTATTTCTAATAGTAAAAATTTAAAACAGCCATTAAATATCAAAAAATTTGGAACTAGTTAAATAAGTTACAGTGAGATACTATGTAGCCATTAAAATATGTAAGAAAATTATAGTATATCATTCAATTTATTATATACTAAGTGATAAAAGCAGAAAACAGAACATTTATGTTTAGTATAATTGAATTTGTTTCAAACGTATAGAAAAATAAATGCAGCAATCATGCATTTAGAGGTAATTTTTATTTTTCCTTTTTGCTGGTTTATATTTTCTAGTTTCTTTACAATAAACATGTATTGCTTTTGTAATAAATGAAACATATTAAAGGATAAAAATAGCACAGTCCACACTATGCACTCTCTAGCACAGGTATAAAACAAGTACTCCTAAGAAGTAGTTTGGTACATATTATAGAATTCTGGGCTATCTATCACGTCACCCCCAACAACAACCTACCAAAGAATAGTGACAAAAGAGCAAGTCTGACAGGATGAACTGGAATAATAATTAGTAAACCACATGCTTTACAAGTTACAAAGTACTTTCATGGACATGACCTAATTTGATCTTCATAGCTCAGTGAAACAAGCAGAGAGCACATTATCCCGTTTTCTAGAGTGGAAACACAATGGACAGGGCCATGAAGTGTCATGCCCCAAAATTACAGATCTTGGACTCAAACTGGGCCTTGACTATAAATTCTGATAGGAATTCTAAAGAGTAGGGAACAATAACTTTTCCTGATTACTTGTAACTAGAAGGCAGTGATTTACACACGAACTTACAAATAACCATATTTGCAATCATATTAGTATTCCTATTAGAATGTGCCATCAGCCTTGCTAATTTTCTAAATCCCCAGTACCCAACTTTGGAAGCTATACCCAAGGCAAACGCATCTTGCCCCTTGTCAACATCACCTATTAAACTACTGAAATTCAAGTAGAATGTAACTGTTCAGTTTTCCATTACATTCTTTCCTTCTTGAAAAAAAAAAAAAAAAGTATCACCTTTTATTTTAAAGTTGTAAAAAGAAAATAACCATAACTACATTTATGAATGCTGTAAATAGTGACCTACAAGTTGATGTCAAAATATCTAACTTAACACTATTTTAAAATACTACCTTTCGGGCCACATCTTTTTTGATATGTTCGCAGATAAGAAACAACCTCCAAACAGAGCATATTCAGTGAAGAAAATTATCAACTCTCGACAAGAGTAACCATCTTCAGAGGAACATTACTGAATTGGTCAGTATCTGGTGATGAGGCACTGAAGCATAAGGAAACTTTACAGCTACCACTGTTACCAACACTCCCAGGACACCTATGAGACTTGAAGGTAATGATAGCTCTCATTTACTGGGCAGTTCCTATGTGTCAGACATCTTGCTAAGCCCTTTATATATGATCTTTAAAACCATTCTGACTATTATCGCATCCTTATTTTATAGATAATGAAACTGAGTTTAAGTTGCCCCAAATTACAAAACTAATAAGAGCTTAAAGTAGAATTCAGACTCTGGCATATTTTCCTTCAAACAAAGAGAGCTTTAGTAGTTCTCAAGAACGTAAATTCTGACTTTTCTCTAGTACTACCACCTACAATGGTCTTGATTTGAGTAGTGCAAAACACTTGGCAATGGTACATGAAGTTCAAGAGTCAACATTTTCCATGTGAAAAGTTAAAAATCGCCAGAGCCCACAATTTATGTTTTGAAAATTTTGAAAAAGAAGATTAAAGTTACAGGACTTAAACTACCTAATTTCAAAACTTACTATAAAGCTATAATAACCTATGTAGTGTGATACTGGCATAGAAATTGAGATGTAGATAATGAAACAGGATAAAAAACCCAAAATAAACTCTCACATTCATGGTCATTTGATTTTTGACAAATGTGTCATGGCAATTCAATGGGGAAAGAATAGTCTTTTTAATAAACGGTGCTGGAACAGTCGGATATTCACATGCATAAATAAATAAACACCTTTCTCTTAAAACATCCAAAAATGATAATTCAAAATGGATCATAGTTTGAATTGTAAGAAGTAAAACTCCAAAACTTCTAGAAGAAGACACAGGAATAAAATCTTGTGACCTTACGTTAGGAAAAAATTTCTTAACTATGAAAAACAAAAGTGCAATCTATTTTAAAAAATTAAAAAATTGGACTTCATCAACTTCTTCAAAAGACATAATTTAGTTAAAAGATAAGCTCTAGAATGGGAGAAAATATGTGCAAATCACATACATGATAAAGAAATGGTAGCCAGCATATTAAAACCCTTAGACTTCGAGAAAATAAAAAACGATTTAAAAAAATGGGCTAAAGATCTGAAGACATTTTACCAAAGAGACATGAATGTTTAGTAAACACACAAAAAGATGCTCATCATTATCTATTAGAGAAATGTAAATGAAACATAATGAGTAAAAATTTCAAAGGTTGGGAAGGACAGGGAGAAACTGAAATTCTCATCCAATGTTGATGAGAATGTAAACTGGCATAGCCATTTCGGAAAACAGTACAGTAGTTTCTTAAAATGTTAAATATACAATTATACATTTAACCACATGACCCAGAAATTTCACTCTTAGATATTTAAACAAGAGAGATGAAAATGAATAATAATAGCAGCATTAATCATAATAGTCGAAAACTATAAACAATCCAAATATCCATCAAATGATGAAGGGAGAAGCATAAAGTGGTAACCCAAAACAAAACAAAACAAAACCACAGAATAATTCATGCAACAAGGATGAATCTCAGAAACATAATGTTTAATGAAAGAAGCTAGGTACAAAAGACTGTAATTACATTTATATATGAAATGTCTAGAAAAGCCAAATTTACAGGGAAGGAAAGCTTCTCCTAGGACAGGAGAAGAGAACAGAAATCAATCGCAATGAGCATGAAGGAACGCTTGAGAGTGATGAAAATGTTCTAACACTGGACTGGGGTGATGGTAGCACATCTGAATAAACTGACTTAAAAATCATCATATTGAACACTTAAAATGGGTGAACTGTATGGTATGTAAATTACCTCAATAAGGCTATAAAAAATTAAAAAGAAATGCTCAATACAGAATTGCTTTAAAATGAATCTGAGGAAAATAAGTTGTCATTTCTCTCATTATTTAAAATAATAATTTAATATGAACCTAATGCATAACATTATTCTTTAGAGAATGAAAAAGTAGATTTAAGATGAGTATTCACCTCTCTCATACACAGCTGATAGGGATGTAAAATGGTACAAACACTAAGAAAAACAATTTGACAGTTCCTTAAAAAGTTAAACATACAGTTACCATATAACCTAGAAATTCTTACTCCTAGGTATAAACAGAAGGGAAATGAAAACTTATGTCCATACAAAAATCTGTATATGCATGCTCATAACAGCATTATTCATAACAGCCAAAACTGGAAACAACCTAAGTGTCCATCAACTGATACTGATGAATGAATAAACAAAATGATTTGTCCAACACAATGGAATGTTATTCAACCATAAAAAGAAAGTACTGATACATGCTATAACACAGATGAACATTAAATATTATTATGCTGAGTGAAGAAAGCCAATCACAAACAAAACAAAACAAAACAAAACAAAACAAAACATGTTTTGTAGAATTGAATTTATTTGAAATATCCAGAAAAAGCAGACTCAAAGACAGATAGTAGATCAGTAGTTGCCTAGGGCTGGGGTCAGGGAGAAAGGGAATGGAGAATGAATCCTGATGGGTTATGAGGTTCCTTTTTAGGGTCATGAAAATGTTAAAAAATTAGATGGTGGTGTTGATTATACACCTGTGTGACTATAAAGAACACACTGAATGAGTGAATTTCATTGTGTATGAATTATATCTCAATAAAGCTATAGAAAAAAAATAAAGACTTTTCACCTGGTATTTATTAAAACATCAAAAGTAAT